ATTGAAAATATCATCACAAAAATACTACAGAAGGACATATTGATAATAATGGGAGATTTTAATGCTAAGATAGGCAATACAAAAAATGATGTTAATCTACGGTGCATTATAGGACAATTTGGACTGGGCATCAGAAATGAGAGAGGAAATAGACTCCTTCACTTTGCAATCGATAACAGTTATTCAATAACTAACACCATGTTCAAATACCATTATCGGCGTCTTTCTACTCGAACCTCCCCAACAGGTGAATATAAAAACCAAATTGATTACGTGTTAATAAGAAAAAGATGGAGATCATCAGTAAATAATGTCAGAGCAAAGACCTGGAGCATTCTGCAACTTTGATCATAAAAGTCTGATCATAAGCTACTAAAAGCAGAGGTAACATTAAAACTCCATACAACAAAAATATCAAAGATCAACCCAAGACTTGAGACTCCAGCTAGTTCAATCTTACAACAGACTCTCCGAAATTTAGACCCTCCATCCTTTACAAACAACCCAGATGATTTATGGATACAAATAAAAAGTTGGATTTTAACTGGAGTACAACAATGCACCACACAACATCGGCCACAGAATAAGAAACATTGGATGACAAATGGGTTAATTAATTGATCCTTGAATTAATAGATGAAAGAAAAAAATTATTAACTTCAGCAATCGATGCATATGAAAAGAAGAAAGAGCTAGACAAAAAATCAAAAAGGCTTGTAAGAAAGACAAAAATGATTATATCGACAGTACATGCAATGAAATTTAAGCCCATGCAAATAATAATCAGATTCGTGAACTACACGATGAAGTTAAATATCTAGCGAGAGAGTTCAAATCACGCACACAAATAATTAAAAATGATGAGAATGAAATCATAACTGATGCGGAAGGGATTGCGGATGTCTGGATAAAGTATTGTGAGAAACTTTATAAAGACATTTGACAAACAAATGGTTATAATCAACTTCAGAATAGATGTTAAACCTATTCTGTAAAATCTATTCTTAATTCAGAAGTAGAAAAAGCCATAAATACATTAATAAATCACAAAGCTCCGGTACCTGACAACATAACCTCCGAAATTTTAAAAGTAATGGGAGAACTGGTTGTTGACATATTTCATAAAATCTGCTCCTTAATTTGGAAATCTGAGAGATGGCCAGAGGAATGGTGTAAATCAATATTTACACCATTCCTCTGGCCATCTCTCAGATTTCCATTATTTATTCCAATTTATAAAAAAGGTGCACCAACAGACTAGTAACTACAGAACTAATTAACCATGCCAGTAATGTAATGCTCCAAATAATTAATAACCGTTTGAAATCCTTCCTATTACCTGAAATAGCTGAAGAACAGTCGGGGTTTATCCCTGATAAAGGAACTCGTGAACAAATCTTGAACGCTTGACAAATCATTGAAAAAGCCTATGAATTTAATTTCAAAGCTTACCTTTGTTTCGTAGACTATACCAAAGCCTTTGACTGTGTAAAATGACACAAATTATGGCCCGCGCTCCATAACATGGGAGTCCCGCGTCATCTTATTTCGATGGTCAGAAATTTATATGAAAATAACTCTGCAAGAGTAAGAGTTAACAAAATTATATCTAATACATTTACATCTGAAGCTGATGTAAGACAGGGATCTATTCTTTCCTCTTTACTCTTTAATGCTTATTCTGAAATAATCATGAGAAGGACATTAGATATCNACGCATCAGCAATGTCATTTTACAATGCGAAGAATAACGTGCATGCCGGTTGTAAATCAGTTAGAGTTAGGGACTAGGGACTTGCGTAGGAGCATGGGCGTAGCGAGGGGGGAGCCTGGGTGGGCACGGCCCTCCCCAGTGAACCTGGTGCCCCCCCCCCAGAAAATCACAGCCGAAAAAGTTTTAAGCCGATTTGAAAACAACAAAAAACTTAAAGCTAAAAATTTTGAATACTAATAAAAAAAAAAGGTCTACTGTGCCCAATGTTATGAATAATTTGAAATAATTCAATTTTGTGTTAGGTTGGCCTCTACTAGGCCCCCCACAACAAAACTCTGGCTACGCCCATGCGTAGGAGTAACGTAAGTAACATCAATTAAGAAAGAACAGGTACAGTACAGATAACTTAGCTCTATTGGAGACGTGTACGATCGTACATGCAAAAAAGAAGGTCGACAGGTTGCGTGCCACACGTCGGAATAGACAGACTAACATGGCAGAATTGCAGATGAGTTTCAGTGAGTGAGTTCTTTCGCTGTTAAAATAGTGTAAATTTGTAAAAATATTTGCAAGAACATTGTTTCATCGTAATTTTACAATTTCTACGTAATTCCCGGACAAAATTAATAGTTCACCCGCACAATGAGTCAATTCCCGGACTGTCCGGGTGAAAACCGGACGGGTGGTAACACTAATTTTATTCTCACCATTGTCTTTGAACTTCAGCTGCAGGTAAAACACATAATTCGTGAAGATCTAAATAAGCAAAACAGGTGGACAGATCAATTATCATTTACCTTTCCTTTTGATATTAAAAGTTGTGATCGCACTTACATTGCAGTGACGTCAGTAACCACGTGACGTTCATGCTTGGCAGAATTCCCCTTAAGCTGCGTTTTTGAATATTTTTTCAAATTGCGTATTTTAAACTTCTTTAAATTTATTTTTTTTAAATAGCCGCATCGTGTCGCTTCTACAACAATTAAAAAAAAGAAAACAACTTTTTATAGTGAATACGTAACGTTTTATTATCCAATCGGAAGTAATCTAACTAGCCTGTTGTTTAAAATGTTAACGCGCATTAATTATACCTCTATGGGCAATACAGAATATTTAATTTGTAGAAACATTAGCTACTCTTCTTGAATTTCTTGAAATCAGGGGTCATATTCTGGTTACCGTCTCTGATCTCGTCTCCATCAAGCCGGTCGCTGATTGGCTAATCATTTGGATTAGCCAATCAGCGACCGGCTTGCGAGAGACGAGAGACCAGAGAGTGACCAGAGTACGGCCCCTGGTNCTTCATCTCTTTTAAAATTTATTTTTGTGTTATAATGTTTAGAATATGATATTTCATCCTGAATATTTTTGAAAGAATTTAAATGTGTCTGCACAATCTATGTAGTTAATTTCATTTAAAATTGAGAGCTGAAATCTAAAGTTAAATTAAAATTAAGCATTATCATTAATGATTTAAAAATCAGACAATATAAAATATACAAAGGTAAAAAAATACTACATAAAAAGTAAACAAAATAAAATTCATTCACATGTTAAAAGTTGCAGCTTTGATATAAAAAAATCAAGAAAACACTAACTACGAACGTTCACAAGGAAAAATATTTTAATAATTATCTCAATTTTATGATATTGTTTTGAATTTTGATCTTTACCTTGTATAATTTTAAATATTCTAAAACCTTTAGTTAATAGGGACTACTGTATTTTCTCTCGGAAAATAGTCCGAAATGCAGTTTGGATTTTTTCATTTCCATACTTATGTAGTAATTTTTGTGTTTATTCTCACTTTGATTCCTGAGCGTTTGTGCCGTCATTAGTCTGATAAGCCCTCACTATTATCTGCCTTACTGTTGTTGATAATTTAATTAATTATACCAGGGCTAGAAGCAAAGTTTTGTAATAATTTCATGCCATTTTATATTATGATCATTTGAATTCTTTTTTGAATAGAGTTGTGTAAAAAATATTTTAAGCACAAAATTTATATGAATAAATAAAAGTATCAAACTTACCATAAAGCGATTTAATAGCCAGACGACAGCGATTTGAGTCAGACGATATTTGAACTTTGCCACTGGAGGGCACTTCGCGATCCATTTTACGAATTAAAAACAAAAAAAATTAATTGTTTTATAACTGTTTAATATGATTAATATTTTAAAGGAATAGCTATAATTAGTTTTAAAATAAAATGCATTTCATATTTACTTAGAAATTATTATAGTAAAATAAATCTCAATACTGTAATGGTCAATTTCGACTTATAAGAGATCGGAATTATGAATAAGAAAATTTCATAAAAATGGAATTCAGTACTGTATTTACATTTTTTATTAAGCAATACATAAAATTTTAGCAAAAGGAATTTGATCATTGCTAATTAAAATGTTTATTAAAATAAAAGAATATTCAATTTAAGAAAATTAAAAGTTTATAACAAAATAGAAACTTGTTTTTTGTTTGTTTGCTAATTTACGGCAACGCAATACTTGGACAATCTGCCTGGGGGAGGCCTTCCGGGGGTCTTTTTAAGGGTAACTAGCCCCTATTCTGACATTACAGACGTGGAGAAAATCCAGAAAACTCCACGTGGCCAGGACGGGCTCAGGGAACGGAACCACTTGGCCACTGGTGGGTCCTTTATGTTTTCATATCCTAGATTGCACGAGGATCACTTTCTGTTGTAAATGTCATTGAAAATGTTAGGCATTTATGTTAAAATAATTTAGATATTTTCAATAAAAGCTGATGTAAGACAGGGATCTATTCTTTCCTCTTTACTCTTTAATGCTTATTCTGAAATAATCATGAGAAGGACATTAGATAACTGGGACGGAGGCATTTCCATCGGGGGCCGTAAAGTTAACAACCTGAGATTCTTCGACGACACACTTATTATAGCATTCAATTATGAATCAGAACTTGAATATATTATGAAACGTCTTGAAACTGAGAGCAGGTAATATGGATTGCTAATTAATGGAAGTAAAACGAAAGTCATAATTGATTGTTCCTTGCAATTTCCTTAGTCTGTGTCAAGCATAGACTAAGGAAATTGCAGGCTATGTAAGGTGGTGAATGAATTTGTTTACATTGGATCACTTCTTACAAATAAAGGAGGATGCGATAATAAAATTAAACGCAGAATATGTCTTGCTCGCAATGCAACCTCTAAATTATTTAGAATTTGGAAAGATTCTTCAATCACTATTTTTAATAAACTAAAGCTCATAAGAACGCTTATTTTTTCGATTGCCACTTATACCTCGGAAACCTGGACCATAAATGCCACTTCTCGGAAGAAACTTGATTCTTTTGAAATATGGACATATAGAAGAATGCTGAGAATCTCTTGGATGGAACACCGAACAAATTGCTCCATCCTAAATCAACTGAAAATTACAACACGTCTTACCACTAAAATATACCAATCCTACCTTTGCTTCTTGGAACATATTTCCAGACGCAAAATCATTATTACTGAAATTGTAATTTAATAATAGTAATTTCAGTGCAATTATCTTATAAGCCAAAAAAAAAAAAAAAACGCTGGCATATATAATAGCATGCTCTTATTTGCGCGTAAATGGGGTAAGTGAAGAATGTAGATTAACATCTTATCCCGCGATCATCCGATTATTACAAATTGAAGAGGAAATATAATATTTCGATATTGTAATTTGAATAAATTAAAAATAATTGTTTGATTATATATTTGAGCTCATAACTCATTAATTAATAACTTTGAAAATTATGAAGAACAAGGAAAAAATCTTGAAACTAAAATACAGTATACTAATTCCTAGATTCGTAAACAATTCAGTTCCAAAAGAACCACATTCATCCAGCTATGAAATTTACAGCTTTATTTGCTTCTTATTTTAGAATGTTTCGGCCTTAGCCCTCATCAAACTATCCAAAATTTGAACCGTATTAACAACCAGGGAAAAAGAGTTAGAGTTAGAAGTTAACCTATTACTATTCATGTTACTTCGCGTACTAAAAGTACGCGAACACTTATTGGTTAACTTCTAACTTTAACTCTTGATCCTTGGTTTGGAATATAAATATTAAAAGTTACGTAAGTAAACTTTTCAAATCTCCGAATTTTTCTTATTGAAAAAGTAATAAGTTATATCCTTTTACAATGCCATCGTTTTGACGTTCGTTTAAATTTCACACACACACACACACACACACACACACACACAGTTTTAAGATACTACATAAAAAGTAAACAAAATAAAATTCATTCACATGTTAAAAGTTGCAGCTTTGATATAAAAAAATCAAGAAAACACTAACTACGAACGTTCACAAGGAAAAATATTTTAATAATTATCTCAATTTTATGATATTGTTTTGAATTTTGATCTTTACCTTGTATAATTTTAAATATTCTAAAACCTTTAGTTAATAGGGACTACTGTATTTTCTCTCGGAAAATAGTCCGAAATGCAGTTTGGATTTTTTCATTTCCATACTTATGTAGTAATTTTTGTGTTTATTCTCACTTTGATTCCTGAGCGTTTGTGCCGTCATTAGTCTGATAAGCCCTCACTATTATCTGCCTTACTGTTGTTGATAATTTAATTAATTATACCAGGGCTAGAAGCAAAGTTTTGTAATAATTTCATGCCATTTTATATTATGATCATTTGAATTCTTTTTTGAATAGAGTTGTGTAAAAAATATTTTAAGCACAAAATTTATATGAATAAATAAAAGTATCAAACTTACCATAAAGCGATTTAATAGCCAGACGACAGCGATTTGAGTCAGACGATATTTGAACTTTGCCACTGGAGGGCACTTCGCGATCCATTTTACGAATTAAAAACAAAAAAAATTAATTGTTTTATAACTGTTTAATATGATTAATATTTTAAAGGGATAGCTATAATTAGTTTTAAAATAAAATGCATTTCATATTTACTTAGAAATTATTATAGTAAAATAAATCTCAATACTGTAATGGTCAATTTCGACTTATAAGAGATCGGAATTATGAATAAGAAAATTTCATAAAAATGGAATTCAGTACTGTATTTACATTTTTTATTAAGCAATACATAAAATTTTAGCAAAAGGAATTTGATCATTGCTAATTAAAATGTTTATTAAAATAAAAGAATATTCAATTTAAGAAAATTAAAAGTTTATAACAAAATAGAAACTTGTTTTTTGTTTGTTTGCTAATTTACGGCAACGCAATACTTGGACAATCTGCCTGGGGGAGGCCTTCCGGGGGTCTTTTTAAGGGTAACTAGCCCCTATTCTGACATTACAGACGTGGAGAAAATCCAGAAAACTCCACGTGGCCAGGACGGGCTCAGGGAACGGAACCACTTGGCCACTGGTGGGTCCTTTATGTTTTCATATCCTAGATTGCACGAGGATCACTTTCTGTTGTAAATGTCATTGAAAATGTTAGGCATTTATGTTAAAATAATTTAGATATTTTCAATAAAAAATAAAATATAGTTTTTATTTTATTTATACATACTTGAGTAATATTTCCATTCAATAAATAAATAAAAACTATTATATTTGATAAAATATGTAACTGAATAATCATTCAAAAACAAGAATTGTGAATACTATTGAACAACGATTTTCAATTGAAGAAGATCAGAGAATTCTTTTATAGTTAAAATAATTGAAAGTTTGGAAATTATGTATGACAAGTAAAATATAAAAGGCGCACACTTATTGTATTTTAAAGATAATTACAGATAAAAAATTTTAAAAGATAGTCATATTTTTGTATTTTCTTTTTTTAAATCAAAGGAAGTCGGAAAATGAATAATAAAATTTTAGATGAAAATTCATTTTCGAACACAATAAATAATAAAATAGAATGCAGCAAAAATAATTAAAATTAAGATATAGAACATAGCAGAAGATAATTTGTTTGAACTAACTTGTAAGATAAAAATAAAATAGGGTATATAGAGTACCAGACTTGAGCAAATGCGGCTCTTCTTGAGTTACATGTGGCTCTTGCTGAAAGTGTTAATTTCTGCTTATTATTATTATTATTACAATTTTATTTCCACAATTTTGTGAAAATATGTTTATTAAAAAATTCAATATTTGTTTTATATTATATTTATATTATATAATAAAATCACGGTATAGAACTGCGGCTCCCATGCATTTTGCAAATCCTACATTTCGGCTCCCACTGAACTCTTTCTTGCCCACCCCTGATATATACAGAGTAGTCCCAAAACTCATATGTATCCTATATGATTTCTGGATGCCATCTTATATACAATTTACTTTATTACACTTGTATAGGAAAGAACATCATATTCAAAAATATACTAGAAATTCTCCAATTTTTATGTTCAAATTGAGGAAAACTTGTATAAATCTAAATGTATTTTTAATCCTAATTTAAATAATTCTATTTATCACCAAACATTCAAAGTAAAAGGAAGGAAATATCCGTATGCAACTAAAATATTTTCCTTTAATAGATTATAAATAATGTTTTTGTTCTTGTAAGACTTCTCAAAGGATACTTAAAACTTCTGTGATAAAATTTTTATACAAACATATAAATTCCAATAAAACAAACATTAAAATTGAATTAATTTAAGAATGATTGTTAATACTAATATAAACAATAAATAAAAATCATTAACTGATTTTTATATTTCTATTTACAGATTTTTAGAATGATTCTAAGCAGCAAATTTCGGAGGACTTTCTTAGTTTTCCTGTGCTTCACGGGTGCCGTGCTGTTAGTGTTTTTTATGATCAGTACACAATATTTAACCATAACCAGCATGAATCTTTATAGAGAAGTGCGTAGTCATTTACCTTTAGTATCTCCTGTCACGATAATTAGTCAAAACGTCACGAACTATCAAACGACTGAAGTACCTTCTCCAAAGACTGAAAAATCTGTGGTCAATATTAGCGAAAATTTAGTATCGGAGGAATCACTTAAACAGATTATAACTGGAATTTATGAGCCATGCTTCGATTTTCATATTAACAAACCTACCGCGTGTAATGGAATGAAAGCACCTGTTGCTCTAATTGTTATATCTGCTGTCACGAAAAGATCTGCAAGAAATGCTATTAGGGCAACGTGGGGTGGATACGCTACTAAACTTGGATTTCCTGTATTGTTTTTATTAGGAGGTACGCCATACCCTCATCAGCAGCTCACTATTGACAAGGAGGATGCATTCTTCCAAGATATAATCCAAGAAAAGTGCTTGGATACATATCGCAATATGACACTTAAAACTGTCACTTTAATGAAGTGGGTGGCAGAACACTGCTTTANATATACATATTTTGTTATTTATAATAATAATTTTTATTTTATTTTATTTTTCTTTATACATTTATATATATATTTCATTCGTTATTTTATTTTATTTGTATTTAAATTTTTGTTCTATTTAATTTATATTAGAATATTCTTAGCCTGGCCAACAGATTTGGCTGAAAACGTTTGCTTTTTATTAAATTTTTCTCAGCAAATTAAGGTGTTGTGTTTTGATTTACATACAAATGCTGAGTGAGTGTACAGTACATAAAGTAAAAAATATCATTTGGCACTTTGGCTACTTTTTGGGCTACGTATTATTTATAAATATATTGTATTAGTTGAATAAAAATGCACTTTAAAATGGTGTTTCGTCGTTTTTTAATTTAATAATTAGAGACCCAAATAAAACAAACATTTGTGTTTTAAAATATTTTAAATAAATAAATTTTGTCTCTTTTATAACAAATGAATTTATCTATTTCTAAGTAAAAATGAAAGTGTCTGTAGAAGTAATTTTTTAAAATATCCTTTTTCATGATGAAGTTTTAATACTAATTATTATAATCTAGACATGTTAACCCTTAAATATACTTGTGTATTGAAGTTTTGGGCCAAAAGTATATATTATATATACTTGTGGCCCAAAACTCCTTGACTTTTTTCAACGCGGCCCAGAGAAACAAAAAGGTTGGACACGCCTGGTTTAGATAAAACATTAAAAAGAAGCTATCTACAAAGGATAGAATCTATAACAAGAATAACTCAGAATTTTAAGTGTCAATCATAATAATTAGTGCATGTGACTAGACCAGGGATGACAAACGTTTTAGAGTTCTCATGCCTCATATAAATGAGCATAATTATCTTTAAAAATCTTTATGCGTACAGAAGTTTTTTTACTTCAAATAACAATATTTAAAGAGATGAAACGAATATTCTTTAATTAGAATAAATGTAAAGAAGCTGATTGAAAAAAGAATGATCGGGTGATAAACCGAAATCGTATGATATGTACGTTACCTGCGTACGTTATGATTTCTCCCAACCTGCTACTTTAGGCACGTGTGCCATAAGTTCGCCATCCATAGATTACACCACATTAATTTATTGTTGTTAAAGTTTGTTTGTTTATTAAGTTATGGCAACGCAACACTTGAGCGATCTGTCTAGGGAATGCCCTCTGTGAGATCTTTTTAAGGGTAACTGACCCCTATTCAGGCGTTACAAACGTGAAAAAAACGCGGAAAACTCCACGTAGCCAGCCCGTCTTGGCAAAGCACGAACCAACGACCAAACTCCCATTGTTCAGGGAAAGGAACAGCTTGACCACTGGTGGGCCTGTTGTTAAAGACTAAGTTCTACATTGTTGTTGTCTATACTAATATTATAAAGAGGTAATGTTTGTATATATGTAAGTTTGTATGCAGCAGGTAATCTCCGAAACTACTCATCCGATTTCAAAAATTCTTTCACCAATATTTAGAATGAAACCTCACGGTGGACATAGGCTGTATATTATTCCGTTAAACATTCATATAAATTAAAAGATATAATCTAGGTTAAGGCTTTTATGTCCAACAGATGGCGCTACGAGTACGACGCCCTAAGTTTGCTTTTCTGTAAGGCATTACGCTTTTCTGTAAAAATGAACTAAAGCAGATCATCTTCTATCTATTTATATAAATAAAAATGTAATGTTCGTTTGTTCCTACCGATTCCTTTGAAATTTTGACACACCGCTGCATTCGAAATACGCACGTGTTTTTATATAATATACATGTCGAAATTCAACCCCACTGAAAGGAAGATGGTTAGGATTAAGGCTTACGGTAAAGAACTCTGCTTCTATTTATACTATTTTAGATGCGGGTTTTTGCGTTTTTGATTGCGTTTTAATAGGGTACATCAACAGAATGTACACTAACAACAAATTTTTCGAAAAATTCCCCCCCACGGGGAAGTGTTATTAATTTATAATAGATACATTTTGAGCCACCACAACGCGTGACGGGGTCTGCTAATAATTCTATAAAATGATTCAAAGGTATAAAAATAAATAAAGCAAATTTTTTATTTAGAAATATCAAAAAAATCTAGAAAGGAACTTTAATTTACAAGAAATTTTTCAGTAGACTGAGGCATAAAAGAATTAATTCTATAATTTGATAACAGAGAGGTCTCGAGAGGTAAATTGAGGCTATTTCAGTTATAAATGTGGGACTTCTTTCATCAGAAGCTATAAAGTACAGTACATAAATGAAATCAATAAAACAGGAAAACATAATTTACAGTTTGTAAAAATTCACAAAAAAATTTCCAAAAGAAAAAAATAGATTTAATACTATTTATCAAAATAAAATTTAATTTCTGTTAGTGCAAAATTGACTCTTTTTTATACTATAAAAGAGTAAATTTTGGGGCTTTTCTGTGTCTATAGAAGTTCAAGGAGCCCAATTATCTGATTACGCGCATATGCATATATGAAAGTACCTAATGTAATGTAGAAACACAAAAACACTTTTGGACTATATAACTATATTATTCTAGTTATATAGATTATATAACTAGAATAATATAGAGATAATATTACATATTAACTATATTACCCTAGTTATTTATATATCACATATATATAACTAGAGTAACAACAAATTTTAGGGTCATTTTATTCCTCCTCTGACAAAAACCTACATAATTATAAAAGCCTCTATCTCCCTCTATCTATATTTCCCTCCAAAAAGCCAGTCGATCGGTATAATTTTATCTCTTACATCCTCTACATTTATATACATACCGTGTTTCCTCATAAAATCCATGGGAGTTTATTTTTAAAACGTACTTATCCCCGGGGTCTATTATTTTGCAACAGGAGACCAGTGTGTAAATATTAAAAGAAACATCTTAGTTATCTTAATTTACAACATTTTAAAAACGGAGGAAAATTGATTATCCAACACAGTTTTCTAAGAAAAAAAACAGTACGTATACTATTATTGTACTGTTTTTATTACTAATACAGAGACTAAACTCTCTAATTAGCTCACTACACAATCTGTCGCGTATAGGTCATATACATAACATTAGATTTGAGTAATTTAATTTACCTACAAATACATTAATTGCTTTAAAGTATTTATTGTTCGTCAAACTTTAAATGCCCATTGCTTGATACACCAAAAACAAAAACAAACGAGTTTCCGGATATCCGAAAACCCCTAGTTCAATCAACCTCGGATAGACGAATTTCTATTGTAAATACTGTACTTTTCATAGTTAACCCGATTCAGTGTCTTCCAAATCGGTTATTACGTCATTCGTGCCTGCTTCGACGTCGTTGTCGGAATCAGGGTCTTGACTATCATCTTTTGGTTCGAACTCAGTCATCTCGTTCGGATGGCCGAGGCAGTGAAGCACTTTAACATGTTTCCCATGCTTATGCTTTTCAACCCGGTGTTTATTTGAGAGCGAGGTCAACGAGGTAATACGGTATATATGTATACATACATAAGTGATACCATCAAGCCCACGCTTCTCATGTATATGCAACGACCAGAGAAGTCAGTTACTCATTGTAATGGTTGAATTGCTAACTATTCAAAGCTGAAATTTAATGAGAAGTAGTTTGTGTCCAGGCTGACCCACCAAAATAGTTTTGGCCTGATTACAGATTTAGGCGGGAACACCATAGGCCGTAATAATACCCTTTGTTACACGGAAGCTTCACAAAACTTGTAAATGAGAGCATACAAATTATAATGCTTTGACACATTCACAAATTACTAAACTCCTGACTTTTGAGCGATCCTTTATATATTGAAAGCAAATTTATTAAGTAATTAATATAATTTTTATCCACAGTATCAATTAGACAATAAATATATAAATAAACAAAAGTACACTTTATAGAAACCTCTAAAAATAAAAATATAATTGACAGGTTAGCGTGTAGATCATACATTTTATATCGGAGAGTGAGAAAGTTAGCCAGATTTGTCGTGTGCAATCAACTAAATTATTTAAAACACGAATAACGTAATGCGATATTTTTATCACCAGTCGACTGCTCGATTTTCTAAAGAAGTAAAAAACTAAAAAACTTTAGCACTAAGTATTAAGTAGAAGGAACTATTTAAAACAAATTGATACAAGCCTACAAGATATAAAAGAACGCGTGCATTATAGTCATATTAAAATTTTTGATAACTTTTAGGATTAAAATAAAAAAAAATTCGGTTATTTTACTTCTTGAACATCTTCCAAAATGTCCTCCTCGAAAAAACAATCTTTTCTGTATTTTTCTCTGCTGTAATAAATTCGAAACATCTTTATTAATAATTCAAAATAATAAAGTTACATTTTCATATTAATTAACTTCACCTCGTATAATGTCAATTAATGTTCACTTCCTAACTATAGCAATATATTTTTATATAGACTATAACTATAAATTAACTATATAGGCAGAGTGGCCCAAAAGTATGTTAACCTCTTTGTTTTGTTCATCATAAACTAAGTTTAGAATAACGTACCTTTTATCTATAAAATTGATGGAAAAATATTGTTGTCTCATTCAAGTATCTAAACACGCATTCACATATTTTTAAAATCATGTTTCCACAAAAAACTGTTTACGATTCATATTTGTAAAAACAAATAGGTTAACTGATTTTTGGACCATTTTGTATATCTAATTATTTTATAATTTCAAAATTTAGAATTCAAACAATAAAAATATAACAAAACACGGAAAGTACTATTTATTAAAATTTTACATAAATATAAAATATAATATTAATAAAAAATTAAATTTATTTATAGTAAAAAAATTCATAACATTAAGCTGATTTATCTGTGAAAATACTTTAATTCCTGATGAAAATCGTGATTTTTTTTAGTTTTTACAGGAAGAAATAAATAAATAAATAACATTAATCAAATATAGCCTATACATAGCTATATATAACCGGTATATTAACTATTAACTACTAATGAAAGATTAATTGAATGCTGTTCTTAAAATTCTCTCTGAATTTTTGGATATTTTTTAATGGTTTTAGAATACATTTAGTAAGAAATGTAAATGTTTTATAAGAAATTATTTCCTATAAAAGTTAATGGATTGCACGATAGAATTATTGAATAACCCAATTATTCTTGGGTGACGATTGTAATTGTTCTGTTGTAAAGGCAGCAACGTCCATTAAGAAAATGAAGGAACGTTGCGCTTCACTAATTGTATCCCTTCACAATTACAGAATTGATCATTTCCTCTATTTCAACTACTCATATAATTGATTCTTTCCACTACCAGTAAAAGCAACATTGCCTCCTATTGACTGAAAATGTAACAAATTTTGATAGAAAATTTTTTCTAAATAATGTTATAACTATTCTGAAATTTTATTTCATAACTCTATCCTAATTTTTTTTATATATTTTTGTAGCAGATATATAGATTAATAATGTAATATTATAGATTATCCAGATATAATTTCTGAAATGTGTGTCAGTTTGTCTGTCATTCTCTATTATTCAGCAAATATTGATTATTAAAAATGCGATTCATCATTTTATTTCTATATCCTAGCAACTTCATTATTATTTCTCAGATATTCTTTCATCTGAGAATAATTGAAAATCTTATATAAGATTTTTATTTATAACATGGTTTTAACACCCAACATTCCTATTATACAGATCTGTAAGGATCCCATCAGAATATAGACCAACAATTCGGGTGCCCGTAAATTGGAGCTTGATCGAGTGCCCCTTTCCGTTTGGGTTTCACTTTTTCTAATCACTAAAAAGGCTCCAAATTTTATTAACAAATAACAGAAAATTCATGACTTGTAGTCTATTATGCAAATATAAAAGAAACTAAAGAACGATATTTGTGCATTGTCCGATTTTCCTTTATATTGTCGCGAACGGTATATGTTGTTTGCGCCGTATTACTGTATTTTATTTTATAATACCGTGGAGTTGGAATCTAAAATAAAAATCTGTACATTTTACGCGAAATAAATTACTTTGTTAACCATACCGTGGCATAATTACTGAAACGTGTTTCCTTTGTCGGTCTACACCAGTGGTTCCCAATTAGTTTTTCCTGCGTACCACTTCAAGAAAGAGCTCAAACTCGCGTACCCCTTATAGTGGAAATTCATATTAATCCATACTAATATTATAAATTCGAAGGTAATTCTGTCTGTCTGTCACCTTTTTACGCCTAAACCGCTGAACAGGTTTTAATAAAATTTTGCACAGAGATAGCTTACATGTTGGAGATGGACATAGGCTACATTTTACTGCGAGAAAATATCTTACTCCCACGAGAAAACTCGATATAATGCGGGCGAAGCTGTGGGTAGACAGCTAGTGATAAATAGAATAAGTTTTTTTT